CTGATCCGTCGCTGCTATCCAACTATATATACCACTTACTTCCCTTGTTCAAGGATAGAAGCAGATTTACAAACTTTAACCTAAGATTTGAAACCATATAGATACTATGTCCGAAACTATATAGGTAGGTAGGTAGCCCGGAATATTTAGTTAGTGAAAGTACAATAAGGCACAGCTCTTTTCCCCCCTGTCATAAAGCGTACGATGTTATTGAGAATGATGGAACTGATCGATCAAACTCCATTTTCATCATAACGTGAGAGAGCCACGAATCTGATTTGCTCTCTCTCTCTGTAAATGGCGGATGGGTGTGAAAAATTTTGGCCAACTTATTTCGTCAAAGATATGGAAGGACAGTGGCTGGCAGCTGGGTGGGAGGATCGAATCCATGACTTGCTGCTGGCGTCATTTGACAATCGATCGTTCAGCTTTTTACGTGTTCCTTTCCCAAATCTTAAAACGTATCGAGACAACAAAAACAACAACTGGTCCAGCTAAGCTAAAGCTTTTTTTTTTTTTTTTTTTACGTGTTCTTTTCAACATGGTTGCTGTACGTTACGTGTTTTCTTTTCTGTAAGATCGCCATGAACGATTGTTGTTGATAAGTAGTTTATACTGTTCTGGTTGGGTGGGGGTGGGGTCGTCCTTTTGTGATATGGTCGTCGTTTCAACGTTTAAACGATTCATCAGATTTCGATGAAAAGGAAAGAACAGAGTGTGAGAGAGAGAGAGAGAGAGGGAAGGAGAAGATTCATCATTTTGAAAGTTAGGACGAATCGTGGGGGTGGATCTTGCTGTCAGTATCAGTGGATCGAGTTTGGCATATAAACAAACAAAAAGGGGAAAATAGAGAAGCCACCAGTCAATGGGTCAATGTTTGGTTTGTTTAATCTTTGTTCTTTGATTTCCCACTTAGCTTGTGTAGGTGTTTCCTCCTCTGTTTTCATGGCGGTAACCAGCTCATACGTACCCCAAATTGGAAGGACCAGTGGTGTTGTACGAGTCAATGGTTAATCGTTGTGAAATTGTTGGTGATCAAGGGTTTATGATCTAGCGTTACAACTTGGCCTAAGTGCGATCTAGGGGGACTCAAACCTGAGTGACCCTTCTAAACCTAAACACAACCGCTTTATGCTTTTTGTTTAATTTGCTTTGACACTTCACTCAACTTTTCCCGCTAGATAATAGAAATTCACGGAGTAGGCAGTCATCTAGGCCTTGGGTTGACTTTTATCACTTGATCCCACTATAATGCATTTTCATTCTACGATTACACTTGGTCGTAGTTTGAAGTTGTGTTGTAGTGAGTCAGGTGTCATAAACCAGTTGATCCCAATAACTCGAGTTTTAGGGATAGGTTCAATCGTGGATCATATACCACACTCTAACACGCCCCCTCAAACGAAAGCCAACTCACGGGCTTGAAGTTTGCACATGCCCACCATACCTTGTGCTTTTAATAAACGATTAAAATTGGGGGGTCGTGGAGATTCGAACATATGACCTTTCGGTTCTAGGCTCTGATACCATTTCATAAACCAGTTGGTCCCAATAACTCGAGTTTTTGGGAGAGGTTCATTCGTAGATCATATACCACTCTAACATAAGGAACCCTTGTCTCTGTTGACCCTCCTTCTTATTTATAAGCATGTGATGATAACCGTCATACAAAATTGCTTGCTTGATAACTCCTAAAAAAGAACCGCTCTCTTCTTCCTCGAACGTGTCTTAAAAAGTGCGATGATTGTAGTTACTCCCTCAATCGCATAGTTACGTGATGTGCAAATGTAGTAGTATTACAATCGAACTGATACATTTCCTATCCTGGATCCGCCGATGGGTATGTCTAGGGTCGTATTCCACAAGACTTTTGATAGCAACTACTTTGAAACTAACAACTTTATATTCGAATAACAATGCAGAAAAGTAAATACGATAGGTTGAGTTTACCTATTAGTTGTTCAAAATCTACTATCTATTCAAACACATGAAAACAACAAAGCAAGTAAATAACAAGTAATCAAGATAAAAGACATTGTTTAGTTAGTTTCATCTAGATGATCATGCATACGATCTTATTAATAATAAGAATAAATGAATCTTCTATTATATAACTCTATCTCTTCCACTAAGGTCATCATATTCGAGCTCTAGACACATGCAATAGGAAGTATGGATACAACATTGCTATTTAGGGCTTCTACGAGCCATATCAATAATATATGGTATTGATGATCTAGCGTATCAAGCATCTATCTCGTTCATGCATAAAGGATTGCACACTTCTCTTCATACACGCCTAAAATATATGCATACCACATAAGTTGGGTTTCCCGTGCAACATATGATCATATTATAAGCAATGACCATAGTAACATATGATAGGTGATATAAACATCAAATAGTAGGGGCATCAAACATATAAAGCATTGAATGACATAAGCATCACATGACTAAACCATTTAATGATATAGACATCCAATGAAAAAGGCATCTAATGGCTATAACATATCATTAATTATAGAAAGTACTACCTAAGCATCATATAATTCACATCCCTAAACAACAGAAAGCTTAGCTGACCATAGAGGAGATTGATAACACCACCATTGATGATGAACGCACTTCCATGAAGCTCAGCAGAATTTCACCTCCTCCTATGGATTGATAACTCGTTCCCACTAGGGCAAAGTGTATGCAAAACTTGTGTCTAAATGCTCAAACCTACGCTCCTATTTATACTAATTACAAGAAGGGGGGGGGGGGACTCTCTACTTCATAAGGAAGTTAAGCCAAAACGAGAACTTTTCGTACTTGGATTGTGTTGAAAGTTAGTGGATAGCTTCTAAAAGGTTCCAAGAGTCCCCCAACCAAATTGGACACATTTGGAGCACGACATTATCAACTTTGCACTATGTTTTGGGCCTTATTGGCCTTCAAATGACCCGAATTATGGCAGACTGCGTCCCCATTGTCTCCAGGGGTTGTTATTTAAATTTTAGCTCAATTGGACCTCATGTTACCCGATGTGACCTTCGTCAAATGTAAGCTTGTTACAATGTCGAATATGCTTCTCTGAGCATCTAATGCCTAAATCCATTTATGTTTGAGCCCACGAGCTTGTAATCTCGTCCTCCGTCTTATCCATTGATAATCCATATTATTCTTGAGCATATTGTATCCTTAAAAAACACAAACCAACACCAAAAGGCACAAAATAGTACAAAAACACACCAAGGTCTATCTTAGTAAAATGTATCAAATGCGGGAGTGACAAACATTATAATTTGAGCATCATCAATATGTGCCTCTCTTTTGAAACCGTCATGTGTCTTGAAGTGTAGTTTGCCTCACTTGATCTTGTTCCATGCGATCTTGTGCCATGCTAGTCTTGTGATGAGCATGTAGTTTCTCATAAAGGGGATCGTGGTACTCTTATTCACCAACATGACTCATTTGTCTCACACCCACGACCTTCCCAATCATGCACATGGTCATATTGTCTAGCGGCAACATACATCTTACTCGCACCCTTGAATCTCTTAACTCATGTCCATGGCTCCTCTTGTGACACAACCATAGACCTCTCAGACTCATTATACGATTGGGCATTCAGTCTTGGCCATGTGGCCTGATCTCATGGCATGGCCTCTTGCTTCACGACTATGGAGTCTCATTCGCAGCGACGACTTTCTCACTCAACTAGCGTTCGTCTCGCAACCAAGGTTGAGTTCTCACTTGCGCCCATGGCCTTCCTAACTTGCGACAATGGATTTCTCATACTTATCGTATTTTTGCATCCTTTATGTGAGGCTTAGAACCATGATTTTTTATTCTCGTGGCATGACTTGACCTCTTACGAGAAGGTCTTGCCCATGCTCGCAAATAACTTAGCGGCTCGACTTAAAAATCATGGTCCATGAGACCCCACTTAAGTAGCCTGAATTGTTATAATTAATCTAACCTTACAAGAGCATTAATCACATAGTAAATCATCACTATGGTACAAAGATAATGTTTTTAGGTGCAAACACAATTCTACCTCAATTCTTTGTGAACTCATACTCGATTCGACCTTTTATCTCTTCTCAGTTTCCTTTCTAATCAACCGTTATACTTGACTCTTCTCTTAGTCCAGTAGGCCTACTCACTGGTTGAAATGATCACAATATCTTAAAATGAAATCCTGACATGATCAATTCATCGACTAATTAGAAATCGTAAAACAAATACCATAGATTTTATCGGATAAGTTAGTAATAGGGTATTTTTATTTTGTGTTTAACTCGTAATGGTTAAACCATTCATACTTGTAAAATCACCTATCGAATTGGGTTCCTTAGACGTTTTTTCCGTTCTTACAAATTAAATTTATTAAAGCCTGCTAAAATCTTATGGACTCATGAGTTGCAGCCCATATACAATCACCTAAACCAGAAAGTAAAATGGTCCAATTCTCAGTGAAAAAAGGGCCCAAAGTAAGAATTGCTAGACCGCAACACGTTTCGTTGCTCTTTCGGTAACGGCGTCGTTTGACTCCGCAAAGTTTCTAATCGTCTATATTCTTTCCGCCGGCCGCAATTTCTGCATACTGCCCCGTCTACGCCGCCGGCAAGTGCCGGAACTGCAAGAAGCGAAACCGAGAACAGAACAGTGAACTACTCCAAAGTCCAAACCGAAGCTCTGAACTCAATTTGAAAAGGGGAAAGCCATCGCAGCTCACGCTAGACTTTCCAAACCACAGAAATGTGTGGAGACGCGACGAACTGGGACGAGAGAGCATACTGAGAGAACGGGAAGCCCAAACCCTAACGGCGGACGGCGTGGGCACCTTCTCCTGATCCCGTTCCAGACGCCGTCGTTGTAGGCTCCAGTGATGGATCGATCGGTTCATACTCTATCTCCTCTTGCGCCTCCTAACTCGTAAGCACTTTCTGGCTACGATTATCTGATCAATTTTCTGAGACGATGATGTGATTAATTTTCCTTTTGGCAACAGCCAGTGGGTTTCGGCTATGGAATGGCTCAGCGGTAAGTACTTGACGAAGCTGGTGACTGTCCTTCTCCACAATTTGCTTAATCTGTGATCCCTTTTATACATTGAGTTGGTGGGAAGGGTTGTTCCTGCAGAAAGTGGATTGCATCTATTAGTTTGTAATTTGGTTTTGTGCATGCGCCTCTGCAGTTGTGGTGACGATGGCCTTATTCGAGGATGGAAATGGAAGGAATTTACAGAATCAGAGATTCCAGTTTCCACGCAAGGTAATAGAAGTAGATTAAAAGAAATGAGGGGTTAAACCTGTAGCTAAACAAACGTATAGAACATTGCTTGCTCTAATTGATGCATGAGACTGCTATACCATCAGTCAACATGGTTGCTTCAAATCATTAAAGTAGCAGTCAGCTCTGGATGTTACCTGTTTTGTAGTTTCTGAATGGGTATTTTAGAGGATTGGTTCCATATGATCTTGTATATGATCCTCTTTCGGCCAAAATTTTACGCCTCGGGGTTCTTTGCACAGGAAACCATATGGAGCCAGTGGTTGACTTGGTGAATCCCCAACACAGGTTAGTCAAGACTCAGGGGTCGTTTGCTTGATGGATTTGGGTCATGGATTTGGGACTCAAATCCCAAGCATGATGGATTTTAGCCAAGTCCATTGTTTGTTGTGGACCCCACGGACTTGTAAATCCCACATATTGGGGTGGGATTTGTAAATCCTTGATGGCTAGTTATATTTATAGCAAATCCATCATAATTATATCATCAAATCTATCATGCAAACAATAGACTCTTCAAATCCATGATGGTACAAATCCCTCATAAATCCAAAAGGTTTTTTGAGCCAAAACCCTCATTTTTCAAATCCAACAAGCAAACGACACCTAAAGGATTTTACCATTCGTTTGTTTCTTGCCCTCTACCTTGCACTTGATTACTCACCGTAAGGGATGATTCATTATACATAGGATGGTATCACAACTCAAATTAGGTCATGAACTTATTGGTTCATCGTGGTGCCTGATGGATCACTGACTTTTGACTGGCAACATAATTTTGGTAATTTTCCTTTGGTTAATGGATTCATGGAGGAAGTTTGTTTCTATTGCCATACTGTTAACGTCTTCTCAGAATTATCTTCTTTTATTGACATCTTCAGAGGTCCATGGGGTGCTCTTTCTCCAATCCCTGAAAACGATGCTATTGCTTTAGGCACTCAGGTTTGAATGAGTGATTTATGCCCCTGTTGCTCGAACAAAAAGTCCATTGTTAACACTTGCTTGTTTAATAGGACGCATCCATATTTTCTGCTGCTGGTGATTCTTGTGCATATTGTTGGGACGTGGCATGTACTTGCTCAAGGTGCAAATTTTATTGGTTTCACTGAATTCACATGGAACTATTTCACTGACAGTGACCATGCATGTTTAACTCCATTCTGCAAATTCAGATAAATTATATCCTGATTGCTTTGTAACTATCCAGGAGACAACCAAGATTAAAACGGCTTTTAAGGGGCACTTGGATTACTTGCACTGTATAGTTCCCGCAACTCTTCCAACCAGGTAATGTTATTTCCTCTTCAACATCGTATCTTTTGGTTTCTAAAATACCATGCACTTTTTAAGATGGTGAAAGTCTGGAGAAAGGATTTATGTTTTGAGTGGATCATCAATTGGCCCGAGTAGGAAACTATCTCAGAAACTATCTCCTGGATATTGCTTACAAGAGGTGCAAAAGTTTGCAATTGTTTTCGCGAAGGAAAAATTACATACATAGCCTTATATTCTTATTTGGATTGTTGCATCATAGGAAACCACTGGGAAGATGCTGTAACTTGTATGAGGAGCCTTATGGCTATTAGTTCTCAACTTCTGGGGTCTAATCTAAGATTCTCATATCAGCCTCCAAAAGAATGAAGACTTCTGACTGTCTAAGCACACAAATTATAAATTGGCTAGTTTTCATTTGGTCTTTTATTATCATTGTTTGACTTTACAATGTTGCTTTTGGTTATATTGCAAGAGTCTCATACTTATTTAGGCTCTGAGAGTCCTTTTGGCATCTAACTATCTGTAGATCAATTGCCTTTTGAAATGAATGTATGAGACTAGGTCTATGAATCAACTGCAGGGGTAACAACTCCTGAAATTCGACCAATGCATGCAAAACATATACTGTTCTTTTTGGTGATTTTTCCCCATTTTACTCCTGACAGCAACACCGAGCATAATAATAGAGAAATTTGGTGACTGTATGTTGTAGATACTGAGCATGGTTACCCGCCATTTGCCTTTGCTCTCAGGTTATAACTGGTTCTGAAGATGGAACAGCAAGAATTTGGGGTAAAATACTCTTTTGAATATCAAGGATCACAGCTACCTAGTCCAATAGAGATACAGTGACTGGTTGTTTTTATATATTATATTTCTTTGATAGATATAATGCCAGTTTGATGACATTAGTTTGGAGACCAAGACCCCAATTATATATCCATCCCAATAGGGGATAAGTTTAGAATGGTCATTAGTGTGGAAGAGAAGGTGATTGACTTTGTAATTAGTAGTCATTTTGATAGTGTTTTCCCCCCAGCTTCTAGAGATCAGAACAGAAGATAAGAATTAGGAAGAAAAACTTATTTTGAATTTGCCTTGCGAGGTAGAAGTGGTGCTTTTTGGTGTTTCCTGTTTTATGTTATCCATTGGGAAAGCCTTTTGGTTGCAAGTTTCTGATAGCTACATTAGCGATAATCTGAATGCCCCATATGTAGTTTTATGCTCAGTTTATGATAAAATGGAGTAGCTTTTTCCAGATTGCAAAAGTGGGAAGTGCATCAGAGTAATTGATCAGGGGAAGGATAAGAATTTGAAAAGATTCTGTACCTCTGTTAGATGCATTGCACTTGATTCAAGTGACAGCTGGTTGGTATGTTTTTGGGAAGATACCATTCTAGTTTGATGCATGTTCTGATATGATTGATGAAATCTGTTGTTGTACAGTGGATGAGAGGGAGACGAACATCCAATCGAGTTTTCAATGTTAAAAAGTGCAATGTTTTGTCGAGTATTGCAGACAGTTAACTAGGCTAATAGTTGAACAGGGTGGCTAACCAAAATATTGTCCATGTTCATAGGCTTGTAGCAGTGGTCAGAGCTTATCAGTTTGGAATCTGCACGCTTCTGAGTGTGTTTCGAGGACTTCTACTAGTGCATATTCGATAACAACCAAGTAAAGCCAACTCTATTGCAAGTGACCTCCTAATGCACCAAACTTAAAATTGGCCAAGAACTAGTTTTTATGGATACGATGAACAACCAATTTTTTTATGCTGCAGTTAATATCATTTCGGTTTGTTTTGGCTTGTTTTTTTTTTTTTTTTCTTTTTTCTTTTCTTACCTCCCTCTCTTCTTTGAGCAGTATCTGCATTTTGGTCTCTGAAAGTTCGTTGCATCACATAATGTCATAATTTCAGGTACTAGCTGTGGATCAGAACCTTTCCTCAGTTTATTCGATCTAAATGGGAAGATTCTTTCACGAATACCATGCGCTCCGCAGTCAGCATTCTCTGTCTCTTTACATTCATCAGGGGTATTCTCTTGCTTCTCTCTCTGAATACATTTTCCTCGGAGTTTCCTGTTTCTGAAAGCTATATCAATCTGGTCTGGTACTCTGGTTCCGTCCACTGTGAGCCAAATTGTAGCACCACCCTAGGAATGGATATGAAGTTCATATTATGAACTAATTGATACCCCTGTCGCCCTCGCCATGCTCCTTCTGATGCATTCCAATACTTTTTTTTTTTCTCTTTATCATTCTGGATTCAGGTGACAGCAATTGGAGGTTACGGCGGTCTTGTAGACGTGATATCCCAGGTTCGAAGCCACTACTGCACTTTCCGCTGCAGTCGAGCATAAAGAGAGAAAGCGAGAATGTCTACGATGTATTTTTTTCCGCATCACCTCTAGTAAATCATGCGGGAGTTGCATCTGGAATCAGAAGTTGTCAGCTGCAGCATTTGGATCATCCCATGGTGAAAGCAGTTAAAAGGTGAGGAGGCATTCATATATGTTAAAGAAGTTTAGGGGGGGAACACCACAGCCACAGGAGAGGTCTCTCTGTTTTCAATTGTAAAGACGAATTGGGTGTCGCCGCGTTTTAGAACTTCTGTAGACATGATTTCTTCATCTTAACCCAATTTGATTTTAGTTAACCCTCTTATCCCATGAATCCATCTGGAAACATGCTTTCAGATTTCAGTGTTTGTGAATTGTGATCAATCTCGGATTCTCGGTGGTCGCGCAAAGTGGTAAACACCACGTCATAATTTTTTTATGGGCAGGAATCGAACTCTCGATCTCATGATGAATGGACGAGACGACCAATTACCATGCTGCACTCTCTTGCTAGTCGACTGTTTTCCCTAGTCAGTAGGCGAGGAAATGGGCTTGTGAGCCGATCGATGATTCTAAAGGCCCAATCCGAATGGGCCGAGGTGTGGAAGCCCAGCCCGCAAGGAGTACGGATCCGGGAAGGAAAAAGAGAGACGGACAAAAGCGACGGTATATATACAAGAACCGGAGCAAACCCTTCGCCTTCTCTAACCCTTTTGGCTTCCGCGAAAAAGCAAAATACAAGACTATCCCCAGCCGCAGCACAGCGGCAGCCAACCAGCAGTTCTCTCTCTCTCGTTCTCGACTTAGCGTTCCTTCTCTATTAACTCCGCTGCTTGTGAGAAGAACCGCTCAAAACCCTAGTTCTTCTTTCCTGAGACGAGACTGCTCCTCGTCAAATCTCAGCAATCGCAAACACACAGGTTTCCCCCTTTTCTCCCTCTTCTCAAATCTCGTCCTTGGTTCGCCGGTTGTTCTTCCCTTCATTTCTTTTATGCTGTGTCGTCGTCTAGCCTTGTCGATTTACCACCTGAGAAGTATTGTTGTGCGGCTGGGACCTTACTGGGTTTCCGATCTCTCTTTGATCTGGAGTGTCATGTTTAGTGTGTTCTAATTGTTGAAGTGGCGCGTCTACACGTCGTGTAGAGTAAATCTGCTTGAATTTTTGGTTGATTTGATTCCTGTTTGTGCTGGTTTGTTTGGGATGGGTTACATGTCAGATTTTTGGGTCTGCTGTTATGGTTCTCGGCTTCTTAAGAGGTCGATTTGTATGGATTTTGCAGTTTCAGATATGGCAGGACTAGCACCAGATGGTTCCAACAATTTTGATGCCAAGAGCTATGATCAAAAGATGAGCGAATTGTGAGTGGCCATTGGTTTTGTTGTTTTTATTCTTTTCGTGGAAAAAGCTTCTACCTTTCCCCCTTCCTGTTTGTGTTTAGGTCTAACCCCTGCATAAACTCTTTTGAGACGCATCCTAATAAACCTATTTTCTTATCCAACAACTTGTGTCTTGTAGACTTTTGGCTGATGGACAGGACTTCTTTGCTTCCTATGATGAGGTCCACGAAACTTTCGACTCTATGGGCTTGCAGGAGAATCTTCTTAGGGGCATTTATGCATACGGTAGATTTGATTGTTCCTTAAGTTTGTATTTCTTGTGGTGCTTTTGTTTTGTGATCTTTGCCCTTTGGGGACTGCTTCAACTGCTTCTGTGTGATGGTATGACCGTTATTTTCTTATTTGCTGATACTCTGCTTTTGTAGGTTTTGAAAAGCCATCTGCTATCCAGCAGAGGGGAATCGTTCCCTTTTGCAAGGGGCTCGATGTGATTCAGCAAGCCCAATCTGGAACTGGAAAGACTGCTACTTTTTGTTCTGGTATCCTGCAACAACTTGATTATGCCCTGGTAGAATGCCAGGCTCTTGTCTTGGCTCCAACTAGGGAGCTGGCCCAGCAGATTGAGAAGGTTATGCGTGCACTTGGTGATTATCTTGGTGTCAAGGTCCATGCTTGTGTTGGTGGAACCAGTGTCCGTGAGGATCAGCGCATCCTTTCCAGTGGAGTCCATGTAGTTGTTGGTACCCCTGGTCGTGTCTTTGACATGCTTCGTCGACAATCCCTTCGTGCTGATTCCATTAAGATGTTTGTCTTGGATGAAGCTGATGAAATGCTTTCCCGTGGATTCAAGGACCAGGTAATATTTTTTGCTTGCGTCTTCTGTTGTAGATGGTATCATCGTCCAGGAGATTGCTTTACTGAGTATAGTGTTTGCAATTTCACTATGGGTGTTTCTTTTAAGATAAAGAATGGATTTAAAAAAATAACTTTCTTAAATAGTGGGTTTTAGTCAATTTTGTGGATTTTGGATGAATTGTTTGGAAATGTCTTTGTATTAGTGTGCAATCCACACCTTTTGGCATGTTTTTGTTTTGTTAGTTTCAACTTCCACCTTGTTGGCCAATGGTGCCTTGTAGTGCTGCTTCCCGAGTATATATGCCATGTGTAGCCCTAATATGGTCTCTTCTTGCTTGCACAGATCTATGACATTTTCCAGCTGTTGCCACCAAAGATTCAAGTCGGTGTGTTCTCTGCAACAATGCCACCAGAGGCTCTGGACATCACCAGGAAGTTTATGAACAAACCAGTTAGGATCCTTGTGAAGCGTGAGGAGCTCACCTTGGAAGGTATCAAGCAGTTCCATGTCAATGTGGATAAGGAAGAGTGGAAGCTGGAGACACTCTGCGATCTCTACGAGACCCTAGCCATCACCCAGAGTGTCATCTTCGTGAACACCAGGCGCAAGGTGGACTGGCTGACAGACAAGATGAGGAGCAGAGACCACACTGTCTCTGCCACTCACGGTGACATGGACCAGAATACTAGGGACATCATCATGAGGGAGTTCAGGTCTGGCTCATCCCGTGTCCTCATCACCACCGACCTCCTTGCCCGTGGTATTGATGTCCAGCAAGTCTCCCTGGTCATCAACTACGACCTCCCAACCCAGCCTGAGAACTACCTCCACAGGATTGGTCGTGGTGGTAGGTTCGGAAGGAAAGGTGTGGCTATCAACTTTGTCACCAAGGATGACGAGAGGATGCTCTTTGACATCCAGAAGTTCTACAATGTGGTGATCGAGGAGCTCCCAGCCAATGTTGCGGATCTTCTGTGAGGAAAGGCATTTTGATGTGTTGCTGCCTTCCTTTGCCTTGAATGAATGAGTGAAGAGAGATTATGATGGATGGGAGACTATGTGAACCGGTGTCTTTGTACTCTCTTTTATCTTCGTTTTTTTTATGTTTTGATGCTTTTCTTTTTTGGGTTGGGACTTGGTAGTATTCACTATGGAGAGTAGAAGGCTTGTTCTGTTGTGAAATTGTTCCAATTTTGAATTTTAGCAGCTAGTAGTTGGGTTGCATTGTGGAATACTTTTATTTAATACAGATGTCTGTATTTTTCATCCGTTGCTTCCTTCCTGGTGGGTTCTCAGCTTTTCGACGATTGCTCCTAGTTTGAGGTTGCCTGTGATGACGGGAACTCGGCAAGCTAGCAATCAGCTTAGCAATGAAGGAACTCCTTTTCTATTCGTTCTTGTCAGTTTTCAGATTGTTGTTGTCGAAATCACAATGCACTTTCTGAACCTTGTCAGTTTCCACTTGGATCTGAATAGCGTAGAAATGTGCAAACTGACATAAGTAGTTGTGGGTCTTTTTAACAAGCTACGGAAAGCTATGAAGTTGAGAGATTAGGAGATTCTAGTAGGAAGGTTGGGTCTTTTCCTTTTGTGGTTTTTAATTGCTTCGCTTGTTCATAATTATCCGTGTTATATTAGAGTTAAAACATGAATAAATAATTGGAAACACAAACTGCCAACACATTTTCCAATCAACGAACCACCCAAATTAAGGTATGATCATCATCTAATATATACTAATATATAATCAGGTTCCCACTTAGGCCAAAGTCTTGCTCACAAAACCAAACAAGAAGTAGGCCGAGGTGTCGCTCGACCTCCCTCTTCTCAAGGTTTTTTTTGTTTTAGAAGCACGTCGAGAGGTTGGAAAGCATTGATATCTCATATCAGCTTTGTCTTGTCCTTTTTCAGAACGTAGCTTGAAATCAAGTTGGGGAAGCAAAACTGAAAATGAAAAGTCGCCAAAAAGGTTCCAAGTGGTGTTCTCCCTATGTGTCCCACCTCCAACACGGTTAATTGCACTTCTAGAAAAAGCTTAAAAAAACTTAACATCGCGTATTAGGCGAAGGAAAGAGAGTTTGGTAACAACTTGCAAGCTTTCTTTGTCCCATTCATTTCTTAAATCTATTAGGTCTTTTATGATAATGGTCTCTAGTTGAAATGCTTGTATATGCTATGCGAGATTGTCATAAGGTGATTTTGTATTGGACATATATAAATGATTGTCTATGGAAAGGTATATATAATTTGTCTCTCCGTGGAAAAATGTTTTGAAGGCATGAGCGCACTCCATTAAGTTGAGAATTCATCTGTGCTTTTGGCTGGTATTTGCTATGTCTCAGCCTTACGCTTACACCAGTACACCACAAATACCAATGCTCATCTAATACTAAACGCGAGTCAGATTATGAATACTCTATGTAAAGGATGATTCAAGATAGATTGACCCATTATAACATGTGATTGGAAGCAAACATGTACAACATTTTCGCTAATCAATTAAATAACAAAGAAAAATCTCGCTAAATTGAAAAAAAGTTATTGGAAGATATATAAATCCAGATTATTCTGGAGATTGAGATTCACAATAAGTTGTAGCTACTTTCTTTTATTTCACAAACTTCGATTATAGATTAAAGATAAATTCACCGTGTTTACACATTCCCTTCAATTGCAATTAAAATGTTAATCATGTTAGATGAATTATAATTCAATGCATACATTACTTAACAACGTGATATCACGCGTTACATCATTTTGATTACACGACAACAAACCTCCTCCCTCGACCGACCTAAAAACTACAGAATCTGCTGCCTCTTCATTTCTATTTATAATTTTAATTCCCATTCTCATTAGAAGGAAACTATAATTCAAAGATTCGCAGCGTTAAATTTTGTTAAAAAAAAAAAAAAAAACAAATTCCTCACGCGCCCATTCTGCCGAAATCCGTTTTTCGTCCCACCACACCATCACATTAATCCTCCCCAATCTCTTTGTCTCTCTGATCTAAAATCACTCTGAATTCTCCTCTCTTCTCTCCCAAACAAACAATTCCCGAGAAGAAGCTCCGCGGCCATATCCGGCGCCAGCCACCGCCTCTGCATGAACGCCACCTCATTCCCGTCAAAGGCTTGACGTCCTCGGATTCTCTTCTCCCCCATCTCCACCTCTTTCTCTGCTCTGCTCTGCTGCTGCTTTCTCTGTCTTCCAATGGCGGTGCTCGACACCCCCGACGATACTCACATAAACCCCGCCGCCACCGCCTCACCGGATCTCAACGGCCTTCGACACCGGCCGGCTGCCGGCGCATCCGACGAGCCTACTCCTTCGTCCGCCGGGGACGCGGTGCCGACCGATGAATCCGGCTCGGAGAAGAAGGTTGCGAATCGGGACGGTCAAGCTGCTAGATCGGATGTCAAATTCACGTACCGTCCTTCCAGGCCCGCTCACGTTGGGGTTAAGGAGAGTCCCCTGAGTTCCGGCGCCATTTTTAAGCAGGTGAGGAGGAGGAAACACTCTTCTTAATTTTTGCGACGGATGACGAGCAAATTGGAATTTACGATGTTTCTCGTTGGAAGGAATTAGCGCGTTCTCGTTACGTTCCTCATCGAGCGAGCAGTGGTAGTCTGAACTAGGATTCCTCCATTGGTCAGTAGTAAGGGAGAGAGAACATCAATGTCTTCTGTCAGAGAGCTTCGATTTGCATTTGATTGACTTTTCCATAAATGCCGTTTACTGTATGCAATATGAATGCCCCCAAGTAGTCTGGCGGGGAGTGCAGGGACGGAACTTGGGAATTGAAATCGTTCATTGGCTTCTACTTTTCTGGATTCTTAGCTCCTCATTTGCTCGTTTTTGCTCTTAGTTGGTTTGTTTGTTTGTTGGTTTGTTTTGTTCTTTCCCCCCGTCAATTCGTCAGAGCCATGCAGGCCTGTTCAACCTCTGTATTGTAGTGCTGGTGGCAGTCAACAGCAGGCTTATTATCGAGAATCTCATGAAGGTTTGTCTAGTTCTTAGGCTTCTTCATTTCTTTGTTTTGTTTCTCCTTCTACTATGGCTTGATTGAATATCAAGTTGAACTTCACTTTCCCACAGTTCTCTTCTTATAGTTCTCATTTTATGCTCTGGCAGTATGGTTGGCTGATCAGGACTGGATTCTGGTTTAGTTCGAAATCATTGAGAGATTGGCCCCTTTTCATGTGCTGGTAATGTTTCATTTACTTGGATTCCACTTACTGTTACCAATATGTCCTTTAGGTTGGTTAAAACCTGTTGCTCTTTTCTTTTGGGGATGGAAGTTTAAACGTGTTGGTTACTGTGGGTTTCCCTTTGTTGCAGTTTGTCACTTCCTTTGTTCGCTTTTGCTGCTTATCTCGTTGAAAAATTTGCGTACCGCAAATATCTGTCTGAGCCAGTAAGTATTCGAGTACTGCCCCTTTTGTGAATAATGATAGAGCTTATCTCAAATTCCTTGTCGAAAATACAACGTTGAACCCACTGACTAGTAGTGTCAACTTGTCGCTTGACTTTACAGATAGTTGTTTCCCTTCATATACTCATCTCTGTGGCAGCGGTTGTGTACCCTGTTTCAGTGATTCTCAGGTTTGTCTTAGTCTTCTTGCCTTACATGCACCATTGCTTTTTCATTAGTGTGGGAGGTCCATCACCTGTCTGTTAATGTGTTGAGATATTTCATGAAGATATGTGGTAAGAGAGTTAGATATGCCATATAATATGCAGTTAGAGAAAACGAACACACATGCAACATTGCAGCCTGGTTGTTCATTTTGTTGCCGATTTATGCAAGATAGAATTGACAGATTTATACAGATTGGCTGTTAATACTTGATGATTTCAAGTTTGTCGTCAATAGGAGATGGTGATTTTCTTAAAGGCAAACCCAACTGTCTCTTTAATATGTCAAATCAATCTATCTGCACATTGTTAGGAGCAAAATTGACCTCGAATTGGATGTATTGCTCTCCTTCCTCATATTAAGCTGTTCTTCGCTGGTTCCTTTATATTTCTCCTAGAACAATGTTCTTGCTTTAGTCATTAACCTGGTGCTAGCATTTTCGCTAATTATTAAATCTGTCGGGTTTTTTTTTTTTATGCAGCTGTGACTCTGCATTTTTATCCGGTGTGACATTGATGCTTTTTGCTTGCATTATATGGTTGAAATTGGTCTCATATGCTCATACGAACTACGATATGAGGGCAGTCGCCAAGTCAGTTGAAAAGGTAACAATCTCTTGACCTTCTTTGATTTTCATTCTGTATCTGTGACTTCGTTGTAGTCTGAATTATGGCCCTCGTACTCATTACATATGATCAACCATCTCTTGTTGCTTCCCTTTCAACATTAATTGAAGTACAGTCTTGTGCTACTTTGTTTAGGTATAAGTATCCTCTGGTATTCCTTAGAAGAAGAAATTGGCATACCCTGTCCCGCTTTTTGTGAACAAAGGAAAAGATTAAAAAAAAAATAGTTCAAATAGATGTTCTTGTCCTATTCCAATCCTGTTACACAAATATTCATTTGTGATTGGCCGGTTTGATATACAGGGAGAAGCACCTTCTGCTGCTCTCAACGTGGATTATTCTTATGATGTTAACTTCAACAGCTTGGTTTATTTCATGATTGCCCCGACATTATGTTATCAGGTAATCTGTCCTTGACCTGCTAACAGAGTCTGAATTCTTCAGTCTTTTTTATTGCTGAGAACTTAGGTTGACAATTGGTGTATAGAAAAGAGATGCTGCTGCCATGTCTAATACTGGATGGTTAACATCCGTTTCAATAGTACTTAACATACTTGAAAGAAAAATGTATTAATATATTTTCTCGTCACTGCACATTTCTAATATCTTGTTTTTGGCGAGAATATTTCTTTTATATGCGCTGTTCATTATGACTACCAAGCTTGAGAGCATCATGTGCTGGTTTTAATTCTAGCGCTGAATTGTGCTTTCCCCTACCCTTGGTATTGATACAATTCCTTATGTTCTGATTTGTAATTCTCAGCCAAGTTATCCTCGCACACCATCTATCCGAAAGGGTTGGGTGGTTCGTCAGTTCATCAAGTTAGTGATATTTACTGGTTTAATGGGATTTATAATTGAACAGGTAAGTAGAATCTTAATGTTGAAGTTAGCTTTTCTTTCCCTTTTCATTTTCACTCATTTCGTACCATGTGGTTGGTTCTGCAGTACATCAATCCTATTATCCAGAACTCAGAGCATCCTTTCAAAGGGAATCTCTTGTATGGAATTGAGAGGGTTTTGAAGCTTTCAGTCCCGAATTTGTATGTGTGGCTGTGCATGTTCTACTGCTTCTTTCATCTGTGGTGAGCTCACTTTTTATGTATTCCCTGGCATTGTAGGTTTTCTTACTTAAAGTTTCTGATGTTATATGGTCCTTTAGTATCGTTCCCGCTGTGCACATGTGGTCATATTCTTCTTGCCTTCATCTGAACTGGTTAGTTTGGTGTAATGCACTAAGTCTAAGCCAAGGGTCTGTTTTGGTGACTTCCATATGAATTTTTTTGTCTACTAGCTTGCCAGATTGGAATCAATCAATTCTTAAATCAGAATTTGCTTACGCCATTTTACTTTCTTTATCTTATGGGGTATTTATTTCCTAGAACGAATTTCATATATTTCTTCACACTTGCATTATCTAAATCTGGACATTATGATAACCTATCAGGGTATCTCCTTTCAAACATTTGTTAAATAACTTGAGACTGAGAACTATGATATGATTTTCCCTTTTTCTCTTCCCCATGTCCATCTTATTTCATGTTTGTAGTAACGTAGACACGAGTTCCTTTATTCAGCTTGGTGGTGATTTTACCATGCATCTTTCTCTTTTACGGTCTCCCTCACTTCTCCCTCAGTAACATCTTGCTACTATGTTGATGCTCTTTCGTTACCCTTACCTCTGTAGAGATCCATGCATTGGCTAAGTCGTTCTTCCTTCCATTGCTGCAAAAATAGGTTGAATATACTTGCAGAGCTCCTGCGTTTCGGTGACCGAGAATTCTATAAAGATTGGTGGAACGCGAAAACTGTTGAAGAGGTGGGGGTTTGCTGTCATTGAAATTAATTCTTTGTTTCTCTTATCGTGCTTCTGATTCTAATTCTGATTCCTTGTGATTGGCAATTTTCCCGGGTTTGCTGCTATCCTCAGTACTGGAGAATGTGGAATATGGTACACCTCTTTACTCAATATTATTTCTGTTAGTCATTGTTGTGCCTTGATTCCTTTCAAGTTTCTATTGAAATTTCGCTCATTGCCTGAGTTTCTCATATTCCGATCCGACAAATATGATGCACACGAGAGAGTTTCTCCCTCTTTTTTTCTATTCCAGTCTCCCTCTTCTTTTTCTGGAGTTCATCTGAGCTTGCATCCCTTGTTTCAATCTGAAGTTGTTGGAAATAAGTATTGACTGATTGCTATTGATCACAGCCAGTTCACAAGTGGATGGTTCGCCATATCTATTTTCCATGTCTGCGCCACAAAGTTCCCAAAGTAAGTTTCAATCCTTACCTTTGGAGTAGCATTTCTGTTCATTAGAGTTTCAGATTTCACTAGATAAATATGAACTTTTTGTTCATACGAACTGTTTGCGAAGGCTATATTCTAACTCTGTATATTTTGCAGGGAGTAGCAATATTTATTGCGTTCTTTGTTTCCGCTGCATTTCATGAGGTATAATGAGCATCCTTCCCTTATTTAAGCTTTCTGCCCCGATCTCTCCAAGAAAGTCGATTTTTGGTATATCAATAGATTTTGTAATTTATATTGTCAGAAGTAAACAGAAGTCGAAATGTAACACATGAGCCTTATCATGTAAGATACAAAATGTAGGATTAGCTTGGTAAGATCATGGGTTGTAGGCATCATTAGAGTTGTGGCGAACATTTACTTTATAAGAGCGTAGATCACCCAACTTGCGTAACTTTCTCTCTTGGTGTCGGGTTGACTACATAATTCCCTGCCTGTCCATCTAGTAGATGGCCCTTGGCCCTCCATCTTCGATATGCCTTTGATCTATAGGCATTGTTTGAACTACTCTGTCCAGTTAGATAATTCCCAGCCTGTCCATTTAGTAGATGGCCCTTGGCCCTCCATGTTCACTTGCCTTTGATCTATATGTTACTTATGTCCATCCTAAGATAAGACATTTGCTTTCCACAGCTGTGCATTGCTGTTCCTTGCCACATCTTCAAGTTCTGGGCGTTTCTTGGAATTATGTTCCAGGTAAGATTGAGCCATGTCACGACTAAATTCACTTCTGTGCTGATTTGTCCGTGGAGATGCACTTAAAAAATTCAGAATTGTCAACAGATTTTTAATTGTCAGTCCGCATGTAGCATATTGATGCAGTTCCTGACCATATAATTATGCTTGAACTTTTTCTTGACAGATCCCACTTGTCTGGCTTACAAATGTTCTTCAGGAGAAGTTCAAGAGCTCGATGGTAACGTCTTAAGCTTCTATTATCCGGATTTTAACAACTTAAATGAGGAACTGCAGACGTTTAGAAGACCCATGCTTGGCTCCTAACGCAACACTTAACCAGATAACTGAAAAATGCATAAGTGGGAATCTTACGTTGTTGTTTGTGTTTGTTTGACCTCTTTGACAGGTGGGGAACATGATATTCTGGTCAATGTTCTGCATATTCGGTCAACCGATGTGTGTGCTTCTCTACTATCACGACCTGATGAACAGGAACGGGAAAGATGGAATCTGAAAGGGAAACACTACTTCGAGCAGAGACTTATTTTTGGCAATCTCCACGGAGTTCCACTTCATCAACTGTTGTTTCACATGAGGGAATTATATAGACTCTGCAGCGGCGAAGATGAGGTCATCAGAGAAGTGAAATCGTCGTGCATCAGGGCACTCTTATCAAACACTACTTATCTACCATGGCCATGGGGGTGTACCCTTTCAGATAGTGGGAGCGTAGAGGCAATTTCGAAACCTGGCAGAGAGCAGGCACATATAGCTAACAAAGTGCCTGCTGTCACGAGAAGGATGAAGTGCTGGAGAGATGTGGATTAGTGGTTTAGCTGGTTGGGGAATTTGTAAATCGAAGGCTATCTAAATGTGTGTTAATGCACTGGACCTCCCACATAATGTTTCTGCAATGTTGTGATCCCTTAGCTAAATATAAAGAACAGAACCAATGGAAGTATGGAAAGCAAAGCACTTAGAGATGATCTGGAAGTGTTCGATCATTCGGTCGTAGCAAGGAATCTTGGTTGTCTGTGCTCTTTATCAGTACTTCGGCACGAAACATTGAATTCCTTCTGCCGGTTACCTCGTTCTATCTGTCTACCTCGTCGTATAGGAGATGATCATCGCCAATTGTAGGAGCGATACGATCAATAGTGGATCGTAAGTTCCGAATTCTGGAGATGTCTGTGTTATGGTTCTCGTGTTCTGCTAATCTTGAGGTCTTGCTTGCAATGGGGAATCCATCAGTTTTCTTCTGTCCATTTGCGCATCCGTTTTGTTCTTTTGTTTTGTTCACATATGCGTCATTTTGTTCACATCCACAATTTCATTTTTCTTTTGGATGAAATCCACAATTTTCATTTATGTATTATGGATGTTCGCTGTCTGATTTGTACCATATTTAAAGCCTTGTGTCGACACATTGAGTGATGGACAGTGTCCATAGCTTTTTGTACATGAATAGGTAGTTGCTAGTTAGCCATAGCTGCAGCCTGCAGCACTGTTACTTCCTCTTTCTGGATCGCTAAATGCAATCCTAAAATGATTAAACATCATCCTAAATTTAGTATGTGAATTATCGAAGCTTTCATTTTTAAAATTGTAAATTCAGCACACCGGTCAATCATATCTCTAATTCTCTATCCCTTTCGATCACGTGTGCAACGGCTTGTTCGTACTGGACAGTACCGGGCCGAATCGATACCAATTTGAATATAATGTGGTATGATTCTTGATTTTACGAATATTATAAACAATGAAGAAAAAATTAATCGAATTGACATTTGACGGACCGAATCGGACTGAATGCACTGTTATCCTGTCCTTGGTCCTAAGATGTCTTCCATTCTTGGACTGCGGTTTTCATGAATTTGGCCCAGTCTGCATCAGACTATTGCCCATCCCTACCATTTCCCTCTCGTAAAATCGTTAACCCTCTATCCGACAAGTGCCCCAGCGCCGTCAACCCATACCAGTCAAGACTAGTGACTCTAGCGAACTATTTCAGCTCAAAAATGGCGAATACCGGTCAGAATCTAAGGGATGTTTTGATGTCATCGTGGTCAAAGCAAAGTCAAACTTCATTTTGGCTATAATCTCATCCGTGGAGTTAAACTCGTTTTTTTTCCCCCTTCTCTTTCTTCTAATTGTGTTGTGTGATTATAAACATAGTTAGCATTGTGCTAACTACTCTGGAATTAGCATAGTATATCTCATTTATACTATTTCGATGAAATCAGACATCTTATCTATTAGTGTAAATCTTGTTGAGGACCACCTTTTCTACAATTGGTGATAATCATCTCATTATTAATCACAGTCAATGAGTGTGAAATGATGAATCATATGACATTTCTTCCCTAATCCATGATGGGTTTTAATGCCATTAAAAATTGCCACCGACGTCGGCTCGGGTGGCAATTGCAAACCATATCCCCCTCTCCCCTACCCGATAGTCAGCGCCCATCTCCCTCAATCAAACCTGAAAATAAGAACAACTAAGGCTAAAATGGAGGAAACACCATAATTAATTAATTACCTGAAATTAAGGGCGTGCAATAATTCGCTCCGGTTCAAATCAAACTCATGAAAATCGCAATCTAGTAATGAAAAACATTTTGGAATCAATCATCTGTTTTATTTTACTTATATGATCCGGTTAAAATATCAATTCGATTCATTGTTCGGTTCGATTTGATATGGTTCTTCAACTCGTCGGTATACGCCTACCCAAAATAATAATTGTTTTTAACTGTAAAGACTAGACAGGTGAAGAAGAAACCAAAGGCCAAACACTCTCCCATTTCCTAAGGACTCTTCTTCCCCTTTTTCCCTTTCTCCCGTCAAAGCAAAACCTCCATTTTCCATGGCCGCGCCCTGATAAAAACCTCCTCTTTTCTCTCTTCCACCTAGATAGAATACTAGGCTCTCTCTCTACTTCTCCGAAATGGAAGATTACAGATCCAAGTCGTACGCCGACGGACGCTCCTCCCAACTGGACCTCTACCACCACGGCCCGCCACCGCCCGCCGCCGCCGGAGGCGGAGGCGGAGCAGGGATGCAAGATCTCAGGTGCTACAGCGCCTCCTACGCGGCGTCCTCTGTGTACCCGGCTCAGGCCGGCGGTCAATTCGAGACGAACAGGGACAATCCCAAGTTGAAGAAGGGCAAGTCGGCGAACGGGTCGGTTTCCAAGACGTGGAGCTTCAACGACCCGGAGCTGCAGCGGAAGAAGCGGGTGGCTAGCTACAAGGTGTACACGGTGGAAGGCAAAGTGAAAGGCTCCTTCAAGAAGAGCTTCCGCTGGCTCAAGGATCGCTACACCAGAGTCGTCCATGGCTGGTGGTAGTAGATTCGAAATTCCCAATTGAAAGATTACTTTCCCTTCCCTCTCTCTCTATCTCTCTACTACTTAATTCTCCTTCTCGTCGATTGTGTTTCTTTGCTGCTGTGTTCACTATACATATATCTCTGTGCGACTGTGTTGTAGCCGTCCGTCCAGTCTGGTCTATTGTTTGTTTGTCTGTAAGTTGTTTTTCCACCAAAGGGTATATCAGAGTGTTATCAGAATACACTATAGTTGGAATTCATCAATGGTGTTTGATTTTGGTCGACCCGATCAAAGTTGCCCTCTTTCTGTTGTTAGTTTCACAATCTGAGCCTATGGTTTCTGGGTTTTTGTCTGGGGAACTTGGATGATTGTGTATGTTTGGGGTTTGAGGGATTACATGGCTGAATCTGCCGCCGCCGTCACACCGCATTTAGCCGAAGCTGAGATGATTGACATATCTGGCAAATTCAACGGTTCTGCAAGTGGAAGGATTCCTTGCTTCCTCGGTTGGATTATTCCCAAGTAAAGCAGAGAGGATAAAGGGTCTTTGGCAGAAAGCGGAAAGGGGAATGGGCGCTGGGGGGAAGGAAAAGTAGTGCTACGTATTCAGAGTTGGATGGCGTGATGTGGCCGTAGCCGTGGTGGCTGTTGCGGAAGCACGACACCTTTGTGGATTGGAAATGGTGATGGGCAAAGGAAAGTAGTCGGCGGCGGCGGCAGAGGCAGGTTGCCGGTATTGACCGGTCCCTTGTTTCCATTCCATGGTGTTGGTATTGCAGTCGTAATAATATACATTATTTTGATGTTTGATTTGTTGGGATGGAGAAGATCCTTTTAGCAGCTTGTGATTCACACACCCTTGAGACCATGAGCCTTGGCTGGAAGCCTGGAGCTGCGTAAGAGAGACTGTGTCTACTGGAAGCTGTGACGAACTGAACTGTTAAACCCTAACTCCGAGTCGAGAGTTCATTTGACACCGGTCGTTTCATGTTCAACTGCACTTCTCATGCTTGCGGCCACAGTGAGATAGCGAAACGCAAAAGTCTGGATTGAAGAAAATCTGATGTTGAAAGCCAAACATTCCATGCCATCACAAGACTGCAGAGGAATAAGTAGAATTGCTTAACAATGACGAACAAACTGGTTAGCGATTTTAGGACGTTGATTAGCGATCTAGAACTTTCAAGGCGGACCAACCACCATACCACAGGACAGAGCAAGCAGGGGAGGACGGACTGTAAACCCCTACAGCCTACACCTTCACACAGTAGAGTGAAGTGAAGTGAAATCTTTAACCAATGCTTTAAAATGCCGGGATCAAATTATATGAACAATCCATGAGGATGGTTTAAAAGGGCAAATCTGTATTTGGAACTAGAAGGGCTTACACACAAACACCTGCTGCAGAGAGCAATTCAATCCCCAGAAGAAGCTTTGCCTTTCTATTTCCTGTATGTGCATTTCCCACCGGAAAAAAAATCCGGCATTTCACCCCTCAAGACTGTTATTCCAACTTCAATAACAAACTCATCACACCCTTCTACCAAACTAAACTAGTCTCTACCCGCTGAGGCACATCATCGGACATCCTCCTGCTTTACAAACAATTTTTGTTTCTCTCCTATCTCGGCTGTGGATTGTTGCCTGCAGAAGACAGAATCTCCCAGTACGGAACTTTGTCATCGCTGTCAATAGTCAGACCTTCAATTCCCTTCAGGGCAGATTCGAAGGGGGTCTTTATCTGAGTTGTTGTATTTCTAGCAGAGGATGATGTACGCCTAGCGGGGTCACCCGACGACCCAACGTGAGGGGGGCTTCTTTGACCACTCGAAACTCTCACCAGACCAGCACCTCCACCAGACTCGCTTCTTCCAGCAGCAAACACATCACCATGACTGCCCGAAACAGTAGCTACAGCACGCCTCGATGATCGACCCAAAAAATTGGAGCTTGGTAACTGCATCTCATCATCAACCATAATACCCTGTCAATTCCTGTCATACAGTCTTTAATTGGATAAGCAACTGAGTGAGAATATGAGAAGCATTTAACCTACAATTGGATCCTTAGTGACAGGAGCATCATTTCCAACCGGACTCTTTTGCTTATTATTAGTATAACTTGCGCTGTTCAGTATTGGTCCAGAGTATCTCCGCCGAGAGGGGTCCATGGATTGGCCAGCTGCAGGGCGTGATTCTTCAGCTGCACATCAAATGGGCAAATAGTACAAAATCACAACCCTATTCTGATAACCCTACTCATATAACTATAGTAGATCACAAAGTTCCTTAATCCACAAGGAAACAACAGAAAGTCATGATATGCTAAACAAGCAACAATTTGCAGTACCTGTCTGTCGATCAACACTGGCAATAGGAGGCATTCCAGAACTAGTCCCAACACCTGGGGCCTACGCATAACAATAACCATTTCAAAATGCTGTTCTGCCAGGGACTAACATTAGCAAAAATGAGAAGCTACAACCAAGACTTACAAGTCCACGAACTGGGGGATTAGCCAGCTGTGACTGCTGATACTTCAATATTGTCCAGTCAAAGACATAATCAAACTGGAAGCCTGTTAAAACATTCATTTAAAAAATACAGTTCAGAACCGAATGAACAAGCTCCATCTTTATCTCGGACACATTTAGAAGGCTAAAAAACAATACATGGGACAGGAAGAGTGGCTATACCTTCACGAATGAAAAGATCACGAAATATTCTTTTCAGGTATGCATAATCTGGCTTATCGTCGAACCGTAATGAACGGCAGTAATGGAAGTAAGAAGCAAATTCACTTGGATATCCCCGACACAAGGCCTGAAGAAGCATTGGATATCAGATTCACTTCATGAACTCAAGCAAAACGCTGTGTGCGAATCTTACCTCAATTGAGGTAGAAACTTTCTTTTCACTAATTTTCTCATACTTCTGTTTCTTTGTTCCTGCTTTTAGTCCCTGCCAAGGAAGGCTACAAGGACAGTGAACAATCAGAACAGGTGCTACCAGGATATAGTATCAGATGCAGGACAGCAGGAGTGAGATAGGGGCAATAATTACCTTCCTCTCAGGAAGTACATAAGAACATAACCAAGAGACTCTAGATCATCCCTTCTGCTTTGCTCTGTTTAATACAAGTACCAAAAGGTAAGAAAAAAGAACATAAAAGCAGAAAGTCAAAAAGGACATGAAAGCAGCATAAGTGCATACCAATCCCTAGATGAGTATTCATGCTTGCATATCTAGCAGTGCCAGTCAAACTCTTGTTTTCCCTGCAATTTTTATCATCAGTTGCCATAATCACATTTCAACCAAATTCTACAAAAAGACTAAACAGAACCGGCATTACATACAGCAGCTTCTAGTATCGATTCCACATGAACAAGAAGACGAATGTATATCAATAAACAAAATTACAGACTGTAGTTGCAGATAGCTCAAGCATTCTGCATCTATCAACAAAGCAGCAGAATGGGGAAGAAAACGCTAACCCACAATACTGGTCACATGTAAGAATCTCATTACTATGGCAACATTGAGAAGTCCAAGCAATCATCCGATAAAACAAAACAAGTCAATTTAGATCTTCGTAGGTAAAGTAGTGGAAGACCTGTATGGAATGTGCTGATGAGTTGAGCTATCCCGATATTTCTTTGCCAAACCAAAATCAATGATGTAGACCTATAAGAATGCAATGAACAGCTTCATTCCAATTCTTCAATTCAAAACTGAAGAGCTCATAAGAAAGTATTTCAAAGATTATTAAACCTGATTGGCACGTCTTCCGAGACCCATCAGAAAATTGTCTGGCTTGATATCTCGATGTAAGAAGGACTTTGTGTGAACAAATTCTACTCGATTGATCTAACAGCAGGTAACGAACCATATTAGGACAACGTTGTCACCAAATACAGATGCTTGCCGCAAAGAAGTAAGATAATGAAGCATACCATCTGATCTGCAAGCATAAGAACAGACTTCAAAGAGAGTTTCCGACTGCAAAAGCTAAATAGGTCTTCGAGACTAGGACCTAGCAAATCCATCACTAGAACATTGTAGTCTCCTTCAACACCAAACCACCTCACATTTGGAATACCAGCTGCGCACCAGACAAAAGTAAATAAGCAGAATGGATTAGGTGAACATACAGTTTAATATATACACGAGAAAAACAGCCAATGAATAAATTATATTAGTAAGTATGATTACTTCCTCCCTGCAAGATTCTGTATAACTTGGATTCATATAACAACTGAGGATGCTTTGTCTTGACATTTTCCTGCCCATTATGAAACAACATTGGTCAACATGCAATTTATAAAAATCAATTCTAGCATAAATGACAACACATGAAGCGACAAAATTTCAACAGAGCATCACATGATTATTTAGTCTTAAGTACAGATACAGTGCATCCAGATTACTCACTTGTGCTTTCACAATGAAAGAAAAAAAGAGTGGCAAGTACTAAAGAAAAAGTGCCAAACTTTTCAATAACAAGATATAAACTCTCATGGAGGGGTAAAAATACATTCAGAATATATTTCTAGAAAACATAGACACAAGTTCTAGCCCCTGAACAGCCACTAAAGACATGCATTGAGAGGACAGATAACATGAATCCAAATCCCCAACTGATAAACATAATCACAAATTAATCAGATGAAGCTTTCTCAGCACATGCATGACCTACAGGCAGAACTTCGACACAAGGATCATTTGATCTAGTCAAAGCATGGATGAGGAATATTCCTATTGATAAACAATAGTATATTGCAAACAATCAACTTACTAAGTTAGCTTGGAATTCAAGACACGTTCTTAGGCGAAAGGGCATAGATAAAGTTTTGAGCTCGTAAAACTGCTTGAACCACAATAGACTACATTCCTCACTAGAACATGTAATAATCTTTAAACCCATGGAAAACTTAGCAACTGGGTGTGGTCAGTTTTTTGCATATCAACCAACTAACCCATATTCCATAGCTAACTATGCCACTACCTCAGATACCTGAATAATGCAATTTCTGCATCCTGCCATTGAATTCTCAACTAGCTCAATGACCCACCAAGTCCAATCAAGCTGAGCATAAATGCAACTAGAGTACTTGATCACAACAAAAGATATCACCATTCAAATGCTCCACACTACGATCAGCTTGAACCCATCAACTACTATCAAGCTACAAGACAATTTCATTTCCTAGAGCTTCCAAGTCAAAGGAGTCGCGCCCATAACATTTCCCAGACAGCTTTTGCTCCACCAAAATCTCTTATCAACCAAGATATAGGCAACTCTATTGACAAGTAGACGTAAAACCAACGAACCCAACCGAGATAGAAGGTCCCAAGTCAAAAAGTTTGAAAAGAACAAAGACATAGCTTACAAATTGAGAACTCAGTTAGTCAGAAACTCACCAGCTTAATTGCAACCTCCTCATTCGTCTGAATATTAGTGCCTGAAAGAACACAATCGAGGTGAATTCACAAGAAGATAAAGCAGACCCAAAATTCAGAAAAAGTAGAGAGTAAAAGCACAACTTAGAAAAAGCTAAAAAAATCCACGAACCAAGATAGATCTCTCCGAACGAACCGCTGCCGATCTTACGACCGAGCCGGAACTTATTGCCAACACGGGGCTCCATCGGAGCACAAACGGAGTGGGTCAAAAAGAAGGTACCGAAGAGAAAAATGAAAGAAACCCCCCTAGCTAGAGTATCGAAACCCTAACCCAACCAGGGGAGGGCAGGCAGCGGCGAGCGAGTAAAGAGAAAAGAATAAGAATACGGGGATATACTAATAACAATATAAGGAAAGCAGTGATGAAGGAAGGAAGGAAGGAAGTGAACACAATATACAGAGAACAATCAACCCGCACCGACAAAAGAAAAGGGTGAGGGCCGATTCGGATAGATCTAACAAAGAGAAGAGCTTCTTCCGCCTCAACTGTTTTTTAGCGATAGGAGGCAGTAAGTAAAGATAAGAACACCCACTAAAAAAGCTGCTAGGAAGGGAAGGGAGGGTCAGATTTTAATTACAGAAAGGTAAGCATAAATGGGAAGTAAGAGGAAGGGAAGGGAAGGGAAGAGAAGAGAAGAGAAGTAAGGAATTCAGAGAGTTGAGAAGTTGGGGAGAAAGGGAAGAATAAGAAGAGCCAGTTCCGGCGGAACTGTAATCAGCTGCTGGCGGCGGCGGCGGCGGCGGCGACGGCGGAAGAGGGAGTGAGATTGAGGCTGGATTCGCTGTGACAATGGCTGATCCGACGGAAGGAAGGGTGGTGTAGGTGGGTGGGCGCCAAGCGCGCTGTCTGTCTGTGTCTGGAGCTGGCCGCTGGGTCAGGCCGACTTCACCCACCGCTCCCTCCCTTCCTTTTTTCCGCCTTTCTTTTTCTTTTCCTCTTCTTTTTTCTTTCCCTTTTCAGTTTTTAGTTTCTACAACTTTTAGCGGTGACAAAAATAAAAATATGAGTGGATGCACTTCGAATTCGACCTAATTGAGCAGTGAAAACTCAAATTTTGAGAATTGTTTAATCGACACGAATATAAAATTTAATTTTAAATGTTGTGGGTAATTGATGAACACGATTTCCTTACTATCTAATCTGAACTCGCTCGATTATGCACAGGGAAAAATTATTATCTATTGATAACTTTGAATACCTAAAATCGGGTATGGGTATGGATATGGTTTTGAAAATTTACATGATTCCTGTATGAGTATTAAGTACGGATAAATCACAAGCTATTTTGTGTATGATAATGATATGCATTATACAGTCTCAATGTGACTCGTTGTCATCTATATTCTTTTCTGTTATGGGACAATTCAAGTACCACATCGGAAATATAGGGGAATGAACTCTTGTATATTAGTGTCCATCAAGCTCATTAGTACGAGTAGGGATGTACATGGGGTCGGGTGGTTCGGTTTAACCATTTTAATCACCCGACCCATGCACTACGGTTTGGGAATTATCAAACCCAAACCAACCCAAAAAAATTTAAACCCTACGGTTTGTTTCTAATTGGGTTGAGTCGGGTTGGCGATATTTTTAAGTAAAAACCCAACCCAACATAAAATATATAATTATTATACATCATAAAAATATTTTATAACTAATTAAAATTCCAAACAAATAAACCGAGGTGAAAGGTATCAAAATTCACAAATGTTGTTTGAATTTTAATAAAATGTGATTTGCTTCAACATATGTCTAGTTTTTTTCACGATATTTGTTGAAATAGGCTAAAAAGGTTATAAACAAACGCATCCATAATATGTTATTCTATTGGAATTGTACACAAGAAAAATGATTACGTGAATCATAACTTTATTCAATTTATGTCTAAACTTTAGTCGAAGAATGCATTAGATTAGGGAGACCATGATAGAAAAACATGGAGAAATATCTTAATTTTCTCATAAGTATTGCTATATACGACATAAATATTTTTTTAGATACGAACTCATACTTATAGTTGGAACACGGGTTGGGTCGGGTTCTACGGGTTGTGTAATTCAAAATCCAAACCCAACCCAAAAGAGGCAGGTTGTACAAAAGAAAACCCTCACCCAACCCAAAATCTTCGTTTTAGCGATAAATACGGCTGGGTTGGGTCGTGTTGGAGTGGGTCAGTTTGCAGGTGTGTTTGTTCACCCCTAAGTACGAGACCTTTTGGGGAGGACACTCAAGAGTCAAACCGTGCAGGCTTGGTCCAAAGCGGACAATATCGTACTAATTGAGCGACCCGGTTTGACAAGTGCTATCAGATACTAGTTCGGCAGATCCGGGGCGGTGGACGTCATTTTGGTGGACCCTCATTTCGGTGGCCTCGAAATCTTGTCAAAATTGGGGGTGTTCAATTAGTACGATATTGTCTGCTTTGGGCCAAGCCCGCACCGATTTACTCTTGGATTTCCTCCCAAAAGGCCTCGTACTAATGAGCTTGGTGGACACTAATATACAAGGGTTCATTCCCTTGTATTACAAATGTGGTACTTGGATTGTCCCATAACATCCTCCCCTCAAGCCAAGGACCACGAACTTCGTGTCCTCACCTTAGCGATTATCTTGATCCGCCTGATACCTTGTATTGATGGGCTTCTCGGTACAAGGATTTTCCAGACGCATAACTCTCTTTAATATGTCACATCAAACGTGGATCTCCCTTGATCCGCCAAACCAGATGTAGCCCAAACGTGGATCTCTCGTGGATCCACCAAACATACGCGAATCTCAAATCCCGAGGCCACCGAATGAGGGTCCACCAAACTGACGTCCATCGCCCCGAATCTGCCGAACCAGTCTCTGATACCACTTGTCAAACCGGGCTGCTCAATTAGTACGATATTGTCCGCTTTGGGCCAAGCCTGCACGGTTTTACTCTTGGGTGTCCTCTCCAGAAGGCCTCGTACTAATGAGCTTGGTGGACACTAATATACAAGGATTCCTTTTCTTGTATTTCCGATGTGGTACTTGGATTGTCCCATAACAATCCTCCCCTCGAGACAAGGACCTACTAAAAAAAATAATCTACCTTATTTGAAGAAGAAGAAAACTGTTGGTATCTCCAGCATTTTTGTGATGAAAACATTTGTAATAAAACGTTGTTATTGACAGTGATTAAATAATTTGAACGCTCCGACAAGCTATATTTTCGAAAAAATGACAAGAAGGACGACATTGCATATGAGGGTACCACATTTCGGGGCACAATGATAGCACGCATAAATTCCCCCATTTCAGTCATCACGGATCGCTTTAACTAAAAACAATTATTTTCATTTTTATTGTTCTTTAATTGACATACCCGCTATTTCACAATCAACAGTTAAAATTGACTATCACTTGGGACGAATTTAATGGAGTTGGACGTCTAGTAACCAATGAAATATAAGTTAAAAGTCAGGGATAATTAAACAATAGCATTTTTTGGTGGCAAAGATAATTGGGAGGCAAAGATGATACAAATTGATAAACCCCAAGTGTCCAACCATGCAATTCACTCCCAAAGGCTTCATATGTAAAGTATAAATTTTGGGGTGTGCCTACGGTGACATGCATGTCACGGTGACTTGCACTTTCCGGTCGACCTCAGCTAGGATTAGGTCGACCTCACATAGAATTCGGTCGACCTCATATAGGATCCGGTCGACCTCATTTAGGATTCGGTCGACCTCATATAGGATCCGGTCGACCTAATATGTTGTTTCAGTGTAAAAACAGTTCATGGTGCCTACTTTGGATATTCATATCATACAATTGGCTAGATGAAAATTGAAGACTAATGACTTGTTTTGAAGCTGGAGTGTCCCTCTACATATTGAAGTGATTAAGAGCTCGATAGGAAGTCCAGAAGACCATTTTTGAACCTCATCAAAAGGCTATGCAAAAACAAGGAAACTGCCTAGAAATGGCTAAGTCTGGAAACGTGTTTGTGAAGCCTATTTTTGAGCTCAATTCGAGAAGCATGAATGCGAGTCGAGTCCAGGAGCCTCTACCACGTTAAATTAGGTATGTTTTTATACAAATTCAAGGAATTGGATGAAAGATTGGATATATTTAAGGCTTCAAACAAAAGGGTCGAAGTTGCTACGAAGGCTGTTTTTCTGGCAGACTTCGAGCACAAGCAAGCTGCCAGAAAAACAGCCTTCGTAGCAACTTCGAGCCTTTTGTTTGAAGCCTTAAAGATATTCAATCTTTCATTCAATGCCTTGACTTTGTATAAAAAAATACGTAATTTAACGTGGTAAAGGCCCCTGGACTTGTTTCGCATCCATGCTTGTCAAATTGAGCTCCAAAGTAGGCTTGACAAACACGTTGCCAGACTAGGCCATTTTCAGGCAGTTTCCCGGTTTTGGCATAGCCTTTTGGTCAGGTTCAAAAATGGTCTTCTGGACTTTCTATTGAGCTCCCAAGTACTTTAATGTGTAGAGGGACACTTCAGCTTCAAAACAAGCCTTTAATCACCAATTTCCATCTAGCAAATTGTAAGATATGAATCTTCAAAGTAGGCACCACGAAACTGTTTGTACACTGAAACAACTGATTAGGTCGACCTGATCTTATATGAGGTCGACCGAAAAGTGCATGTCACCGTGACATGCATGTCACCATAGCAAAGTCCTAAATTTTGGGGATTTTTATTATAGTTCACAATTACAATGTGACAATCAGGTCCCTAAATTGGGTGAGCTGGAAAAAGAACCCCACTATGATGAATAAAGAAATAATAAATTAAACAAATAAACAAGGAAAAGGATTAAGGAACACAAATATGTGCCCCACAACCAAAAGCAAGAGAAATAATCAGAAGGCAATGGAAATTAAAAAAATAAACTGAATATGAATTTCATGTTAAGTCCTATTTCTACCTAGTTGTGTATTTCTTTCCACCTATAATTTAACCTAACTTGCGTGGTAAGACTGAAATAAATTTAATTGATCGACTATAAAACTCTTCAATTAGCGACCGTAATTGTTGGGGTCCTTGGGCTAGGGAGGCCCATGTAGGAAAGCCTGGGAGAGAGCTTGATCTTCGGGCTGGGCCTGGGAGACGGAATGGGCCCAAAGTTGGCGGGAGCCAGCCTGGGAGACAGGTTGACCTGCTCCAGCGCCCTGAACTGCAGCTGCGTTGGGTAGTCCCGCACGCACCCGATCCGGGGCCCGGCTCCCGTACTCCACTTGCAGGACAGCCGGTTGGCCTTCCCCAAGTCAAACGCCGGCGGCGGCGTGTCCGTCCTGCCTTCTTCTTCCTCTTCCACCTTCTTGACCGTCGCGGCTACAGTAGTATTTTCTACTGTTGAATTCGCATCGTCCGATGACGATGACGGCGGCGGCGACGCGTCTTCTGTTAGTCCAGCCGTTGAATTCGACGGCTGTACCAATCCTCCTTCTCCGTTGACTTTGTACTCGGTGTCATCATCCACGGCGTACCTCTGCAAGTAGAGAATAAAAAAAAAAAAGGAGGCAAAATCATCAATTTGCTGACACTAAAAGTCGGTGATCACTGTAGTTCGTATATTATAGTGATATAATACTCTAATTTGATCTTAATTTTTTACCGGAACTTTCAAATAATACAGTTTCGGTATAAATTTTGAAAGAAATTGATAGATTTGATTCGTATTTTAAACTAATTGTCAATATTAATAGTCAACACATATTTTTCTTTAAAGATTCAACATTCGTTTGGTACCTTAACATCGGCAAGATCGACATTATGCTCCTGGAGGAAGCTTATGAATTCCCTGAAGTTTTCTTCCGTAGGGTGGTAATGTCCACTGTACGGCCATATTGCCTGTCAAAGACAGAAAAAAAACAATTATAATTAATTAATCCCAATCAGATTGTGATTAAATTTATTACGACACAAAATATTTGACATAATGCACATAATTCACTAACATATACTAATACTGACTCGTGGTTATCCATTAAGAAAACAAATCAAAACCAACTACGAAAGAGACGCAGGGGAAAGTGGTTGGGAAATTTTGTGGTACTTTTAAATAATACGCAAAGTCAATTACCTGGAGGACGCCGTGGCGAGCAACGAGGCGGCCGGCGGCGGAGGTGGCGCCGCCGGCGAGGAAGCTGGAGTGCTGGAAAACCCCCTTCTTTTTCTGTCCCACGTACAACACCCTGGAGGTGCTAAGCACAAAGATCCACTTCGAACCCTCCGTCGTCTCCACCGGCTCGCCGGTGCCTCTGTACACCAACTTCCCTTCTTCCACCGTGACTTCGTATTCCTCCCTCTCTTTCTGAAAAGACGGCACAATTTTCAGTTGATAACTAATCGGCACCATCGATCCGATTCATCGTAAGGAGAGAATATGAAATTTTTTGATGACCGGGTCGCCGACTTACCGGTCCAAGGTACCGGATGCACTGCCGTTGAAGAAGCGACCTCGGACATTTCTCCAGGTTTACTTCTTTGCCGTCTCCGACATCCAACCTAATAAACATTGATCAATTGCACAACAATCAACTCGATGTTCATAAGTAATCCCTCGCCGGAGTCGGCCGGAAATCGGTGAATTGGAGAATCGGCATACCAGTAGAAGAAAGGCTGGCAGCTCTCGCACTTGAACCACAGATCGTAATAGAAGTGGAGGTTGTGACCGTACCGATGCCTCGGATCAATCTGCGGAGAGAAAGAAGCGAAAAAAATCCCGATTAGGAACCGGCGGAGGATTTACATTAATGAAAAACAGAGGAGGAATGAAAAAAATCTTAAGTTAGTTTTACCGCTTCGAGCCAGTGCTGCAGGGCGAGCTTCTGGGCCTTGTCGTCCTTCGACAGGCCTTTCCCGACCTTGGCGGCGCGGGTACGGGCCCGGGCCCATCGCGAAACCGCGGTCTCGGGCTTGCGGTCGTCGAAGAAGGAAACAGAGCTCCGCCGGAGCGCCGCGAAATCCAGCGCCTTCCACCACAGCTCCTCCACCACCACCGCGCAATCCGCCAGGTTCCGCCGCGTCCTGTAGCTCTTGTAGAACTTCTGCAGCTTCACCGCCGCGTCCTCCAGCTCGCTCGCCGGCTTCGGGGAGAACATGATCGCCGGCGACGGCAGCGGCGGCGCCTTTGCCACGGCCGATTCGTCATCTCCCCCCTCTGCCTTCTTCTGGAGCTTGATCCTCAGCGGCCGGCAGAGGTTGAGCTTGATGCTGGCGGTTCTGGTGAACTTGGAGGAGACATTGTTGTTGGGCTCTGTTTTGGGGGTGAGGGAGAAGTTGTTGTGGGCGAGGGCGAGGAAGCTTTGGCGGACGATTTCTTCCCAGGCTGAGTGGAGCAGCGAGAGGGACAAACCCATATGGAGCTGTGAATTCTCTGATTGATCAAGGTTTTTGAATTGGATTGGATTGGGGGAAAGATTTGATTTTCTCTCTCTCTCTCTCTCTCTCTTTCTTCCAAGTTCAGGGGATTCTTTTCGAGGTTGGGGAAGGATGAATGAGGATGAATAATGGAGGTGGGTTTGGGTTTTCTGAGTCTGGACCGGAGGGGATTTATATAGAAGGAGTAGAGAGAAGGTTGGAGAGGGATTGATGGATGGGTGGGCATGGCGTTGGCAGGGGATAAAGAAATGGCAGAGAGCGTGGAAAGTCTTCGGGGGGAAGGGGGGAAGACGACCGAGTTGGGTAGAGTCAGGCGAGTTGGTGTCTGTTTTGGATTGGGAAGATGGTTTTGATGAGCGTGTGTTGCGGGTTGGAGAACTACGGCCTACGGGTGTGCAAAACTCATAAGAACCGCGATTCTATAGTAAAGTAAAATATAGGATTAAGGATCGGATTATTATTGTAATCGGTCGAATTTGATCCGGTGTAAATAGAAATTTGATTCAGTTTTTCATCCAAAGTTCAAAATAATTGAGTTGATATGATTTGGTATGGTACTATGGTATGTAGGGCTGACAATTCGGTTGTCGGTTAGCGGTTAGCCGCCGGTTATAACCGAAAACCGACAGAAACCGACTAACCGAAAACCGGCAAAAACCGACCTCGGTCGGTGTTCGGATGCCCATCAGAGGGCTCCGGCTAGCCGAATAACCTGGAATGATTAACCGCGGCTAACCGGATAACCGACCCTCACCGAAAATCCCCTTCTCCCCATCCCAAAATTGCAGAAACCCTTCACCCCAAATCAAAAAATCTAATTCCAAATTTCCAATACCCTCCCCCATCCTCCCCGCGAGATCGCCTGCGCCCCCGCCGTAATCGCTGCCCAAGCGAAGACGTCAATCGCCACTATCTCCACCACTCTACCCTCGTCACCACCAACAATCCACTACTCAGCCAGCCCTCCGCCGGCCTTCAGCTCGAGCAGAGCGACCTCAATTGCAGTCCCCGAGAGAGAAACCAAGGATGCGACGAAGAAGACCCTGGTCGAGTGTCCGTTGGGGAAGGAGAATTTGTCGACGGCGGGCATGGAAGAGTGATTGTAGGGCGGGCGCTGGCGGCGGAAGATGGCTTTGGTGAGGCCGACGACGGCGAGGTCGAGGAGGAGGCCGAAGAGCAGAGGACTGAAGAGAGGGAGGAGTGCCGGGGAGAGTGGGGAGAAGAGGAGGGCAAGGCAGATTGGGAAGGAGAATCGGAAGTCGGCGTGGAGGCGTACTCGGCGGCGACGGGTTTCTATGGAAACGAAGAAGAGAATCGAGAGAGAGTAGGGAGAGAAGAAGAAGAATCGAGAAGTGAGAGGAAGAAGAAGAATCGGCGGGTTTCTCTGGAAAGGAAGAAGAAGAATCGAGAAGTGAGAGGGGTTAGGAGTGAGTGGTGCAGAATTTTTGTTTTTTTTTTTTTTTTTAGAAAAGGTAGTTTCCGGTTGGCTGGCTAATCGAGCCTAAAATCAAAACCGACCAGTCGGTTGGCCGGCTAACCGTGACACACCTCACAGTCGGTAGTCGACAGCTATAAAGATGGCTCGATTTAACCGATAACCGGTTTTTAAGTTTCGGTTAAACCGAAACCGACCGACTGCCACCTCTAATAATATGGTGGCGTGGGATTACTAAACCGTTGGACAACCCTAATTGGGGTCACACACTGAATAGTTTTGTCAGTTACCTCCTTGTCGTGAAAAAAGGACACATTATTTTAAGTGGTATTGTTCTTCCGCGTTGCATTAATGTCCATGTTTTCATGCATGTAAAGAATCAAATTTAATTACCCAGCACGTTAAAATATAATTAAAAAATTGTTCGGGTTTTAAGCTTAGATTTCTAAATAGATTTTGTGGTAATCGAGAGATTCGAGTATTGATGAGATTCTCGAAGAGGATAGTATGTATAAACCTTATTATGAATAAGGTTAAGAGTTCATTGGAAAATAAGATTTGAATCATGGTTTTATTGAATCCATAAATTTAGCAAAATGTTATATTTTTTTTATATTTTTAATTATGAATTGTAGCTTCAGATATTAGAAATCTTTAAAATTTAGGGAGATTCTATATCTTGATTTTAGAAATGTTCTCTTTCCTACTCTATCTCTTCCTTACCATTACTAATAAATTCTCAATATTTTTCAAGTCAATCTAATTATTTGGTTAAAGATAAACATGTCATTTGATAAAAAAATAGAATTTCTTTTTCATTGGAAGTTAACAATCGCAGTTACCAAACAATGAATAATTTCAAATCTTTTTACAATAATCCATAGAGTTAAAATCTTCGAATTGTCTAGAATCTAGAGATTTAGACTCCAATTCTCCAAACGACCCCTAAACTTATTATTTACTGAAGGTAATTAACTTTTTCAATTAATTTCATAGATTATATCTCTTTTATTTTCTTTTGCTCTTCAAAATGACTTCCACTTTGATATAGTTTTTTTTTAAATTATTATTTGTCTTTACAATGTGGTAATGTTTGGTAGTTCATAAGATTATATGAAAGTGTATCATGGTGGTATGAACATATCATAATGCATAATGACTGCATACATATAGTAGGAATATACTAACTGTCATTTACCACATTTCATCACCGTATATCACCAAGCCATTTATCACCAAATACCATAGTGGTATAGTTTTCTCCAATGCGATGTGGATTGTAGGGTAGAAACCCACTCAACGATATTTGATGGTTTATTAATAAAGTGCATGTTTAATTGTAAACAAAAAATATCAGGTGGTATAGAATGATATATTTGGTCTTGATTCCAAAAATCTAGATACAATAAATCACGATGAACTCGTACATTCTGGATAATTTTGTTTTTAAATTCGAGTTAAAAACCGAAGGTGGTACCAAGTGATGCCAGGTGGTAATCAATGGCGGATTCATGACATAGTAGAGCACTGTGCCACATTTGAGAAAAGGTGGAGAGGGCTGGGTCGTGACCCGACTAGCACTGGATCGAATACCTAAAATAAAAAATAAAAGTGCCATATACTAGCTTTGGACCAGAGGAGGGCTGGGCAGGTTGGCCTCCCCCTTGGTCTGCCACTTGTGGTAACGAGCAGTATGATTTTTTTTCTCGAAATATTAGAAACAGATATGATTTTGTAGATCACAACGAACTTGTTTCATCTGTACAAAATATTTTGAAACCCAAGTTAAAACAAAGAAGATAAAAACCAATTAAAAATAGTAGGGAAAATAAAAGTCATTTAATCTCACTTTAGATATGGCTCCATTTAAAATCATTAATTCACATATGATTATAGAAGGGTTATGCACTTTAAAGTTACGTAACTGAGATTTTGTACTTGTATTGTGTGGTTTCTGAACCATCAGTGTCTGAGAATTAAGATATATGAAACTACATTTTCTTAATGGGAAGAAGAGAAATTTTCTTGGTGATGAGTAAGATAGAAAAATTTGGAAGTGGTGAAGTAGAAGTTCAAAATTAGGATGTATTTATAGAGAAATATAAGCAAAAAAGTTGTTGGAGGCTGAATGAGCCGTTGGAAAAAACCTGAGAGCTGAGTTTGCATTTTTTTTTTAAGTTAGAACGACTCATAGATATTACTCACATAATATAAGATCAAAATCTCCCACCAAATTGATGAAGCAAATAACCACTTAGATTTCTGACTTCACTATTGTCTAAAAATTAGAAAAATCTCCAATTCCATCACCAGAAAGAAATGAGAGATGAATCCACCGGTGAGATGCTACCAGGAAATTCCCCCTCCCTTTGGTCTAGTAGTGTGCCACATAAATCCCAACACTCTGATGTATTGCTTGCAGCACTGGTTGGGGTCTAAAGAAACAGTTGAGGGACAAGAGTACTGACAGAACTTCTGATTTTGTGTTGTTTTTGTTTTGTTAATGTCAGTCAGGCGACTAGGTCAATAGAAAACTAAGAATGAAGGATAGATGATGAAACTTTTCTTATGGGTTCGAACCAGTTAATAATTTTCCTACCCTTTCCCCCTGAATTTTGGATGGTGGCGGTGGACTGGTGGTGGTGGGCGAGCGTGTGGAATACTGGGACTTCAATAGTGGAAGAAAGGGTTCACAATAAGGTTGTGGAAAAATCAGGGGCACTCCACTCCCAGCAGGTCCTCCTGTTGATGGATTCAAAGCCAAGGTTGAAACGATAACCTCATCAGTAGGGATGGGGGAAAATATTCCACAATTGTTCATATTCTCCCGAATTCGGTCTAATTGGATAGGGTAAATATAAGCCTTGAGAATTAAAGCGAGTATGGATAAATCCGAATCTGAATATTGCGGGTAATGGATGGATATGATTTTCTCAATAATCCAACTCAAACCCGCCCGAATATATACATGTATATGTATTTTGTTTAGGGTTAGATCATTATTTTTCTCAACATATTTGACATTTGTTATACATATATAATATTTTTCATGAAATGGTGTTGTTTCTAACTGATGTTCTTCATTATAATGATTTATTATCATAATTTTTCACTTATGGATAACTGTGGATACCCGCAGGGATGGCAATGGGTCGGGTTGGGGCGGGTTTTGCCAAACCCAAACCCAAATCCATGGGTTTATCCGCCAAAAAAACCCGGGGTAAAACCCGCTGGGTTTGAAAAACTCAAACCCAACCCAACCCGCTGGGTATCAGCGGGTTCGTGGGTACCCGTGGGTTTTTGTGGTAAAAAATTTACAATAACAAGTTTCTTTCAAAATAAAAGTTTAACATTAATTTTCTCATACAAATTATTCATACAAAAAACACCAATCTAGAGCATACAAGCAAACCGCAAATGATCAATACAAATTGTTCAAAATTAAAGATAAACATCTATAAACAATACGATTAATCATTTAATTGAAAGCTTCTTACTCGTCAACTAAGTTTCTTCACTCTCCACTTCATAATATCAACTTTATTCTAAACAATTAGAAACAACAAATTATATACGTCTCCACAAATATAAAGAATATTAATTGTTTAAGGAAGATATATTATTTAGAATATTAAATATACCGGGAAAGTAATTATATGTGTGTGGGCGGGTACCCGTGGGGCGGGTTTACCTAAACCCAAACCCAACCCGACCCGGTGAATAGTGTAGCGGG